TACTTGGTTTTTTTTTTTGGGGGGGGGGGGTTGTAGCAACATTGGATCTGTTTGTCGCAGATGCTTCCTTTGTATTCAAAATCCATCCTGGACGATCAAGAAGAACTGTGTATTAGATCCTTCCTACCCGTCTAAATGCTGATTCAAGGACTTATCCTCTCGGTCCTTAACCTCTTTTGTTGTTTCATTTGTATGTCTTTTGTCGTATCATCCGCTCTCTCCTGTAGGCTACTAATTACTCTGAGAATTCGAGATAGCTGGACGGTTGGGGTGTGCAATTACTGACTGGAAGGTCCATGATTCGAACCCAGCCTGGGCATCTCGACTACCCCTAAGAGCGGGTAACTTGCCAGTACATGTCTTCACGCCTCCTTCAGGTGGCGTGGCAGCTAGGTACTGAAAGTGTGTTGCGATTATGACTATTTTACGTTGAGCCACATTCGCTGAAACATTGGTCCACCGATCGTTCAACTGTGACACTCTTTTTGTGCCCAGCTGCCATACTACTCGAAGAAGGCACAGAGGTTGAGATGCTGCCAGGTTACTCAAGCTTAGACAAGAGCAGTCGAGATGCCGGGCTTGGGAGTGAACCACGGAACTTCCGGCCAGTACGTTCGCACCTTAACCACCGAGCTGTTTCGGGCTCCAAGCCCAGTGATGCGGTTGAAAGTGTGGTCTCAAAGTAAACTGCCGTGGGGAGGCGGGATATTCTGGAGGCTGTCTAGGAGAACCCCATCTTTGGGAATGCCATTATTATCTAGCTACTATAATCGGTAACCCTGTGTAATCGTTGCAGATGAAAGGATTCACATTCTCGTGTTCTCACTGCCGTGGCAAAGTGCACACTTGGTCTATTGTTGGGCACATGGAAATGCTGTCCAACGTCAGGACTCAGCCTACTGCTGCCTCCTGTCAGCAACCGACCCAGCTTCTGGTGAACTGGATGTTAAATCAGTTGTGTGGATGAACAGCTTGAGAGATTGGTTCAGTCTGATCCTTTCAATGGGGTCCAGTTTCTCTTGTGTTTTCTTGGACTATGCACAAATAAATATCGGATGTTCTTGGCTAAAGATGCAAATAGCTATATGGTGGAGTCCCTTCTATAACTTGTACTGGTTTGTTTATTAAAAGCCAAACCATTTCCGTCTCTCTAAAAGCGGATCGGATGTTGTTTCACTGTGATTTTCTAGCGTTTTCACGTCCAGTTGCAAACTTTCGGAACACGTATACAGGGCTATATCACGGGTATCGCAATAATCCTCAGGGATATGCGACACAATACGTTTTTTCGCCTGTTGGGCGTGGAGTCCCTTGGAGAGATAGTCGTAAATCAAATCCCATTCGACAGGAAATACGGTATTTCCTAGCGCGGTTCAATCCCTGCCATCGCCGACATTTCCCGAGCGAGACTGAGATATTCTTAGACACATATTGTGACTAGGCGTGATGCTATCAGTGGATAACTCGGGTTAGAAATAAGTCAGCAATTGAGACGTGAGCTTTTTACCGAGACATTCGATTGGAGTCTTCCACTAAAGTTTTGGTCGCTTTTTGCAATACCCCGGTCCTCGTGCTTTATCCAGGTGGCCTAGTAACTGAGCTCTCATAGCGAGAGATATTAGCAGTTAACTGACAGGTCTGGTTGTTTTGGTACTCTTCATACATGAACGTTTCGTTTTTCTTTCCAGGTTGTCTGCATGTCTCACAGTGACGCCATCCGTCAGGCCAACGAAAGTCCCGTGGGCACTCGAATAACCCATGGTTCTAGTGCTCGAAAACCGCTGACTTCCGTTGAACCCTCCTTCAACTGCATGGATTCACATACTGGTTCCCACCAGCTACGGACTCGCCGTTCTGACCTCCCGGGTGCTCTGGACGCCTCCAATGAGACTAGCGCACCGCGTAAACGTTTCTTCTCACTTCGTTCACCCTCGTCTGCAACTCGCGGTTCACGAAGCAAACAACCGGGCACGTTTAGTCTAAAAGCCAAAACGGACAGTCCGAACATGCGAACGCGTCCGTTTGCGTCTGCTTCGGAGCGGCACCGTTGAATCTCGTGAGCTCATTTTTCCTGATTATACGGTTCCGTCACGAGGGTACTGAACCTTACCGTAATGTGACGCTTTGTATGCCTTCGTGATCCATTGAGCTATAATGGGGAGGGAAGATGGACCACGCGACGCTTGCAGAGTTTCTCATATTACGCTGGTCAGTGGTTACAGGTCCCTTGGGAGTTGGGACATGTGTGGCGACTTGTCCTCTAAAACTGACAATGCATTGGCATTTCCCGCCAGACACCGCTGCCTGGTGATCAGGCTACGGAGCCAAAGACTCCAATCTTCCTCCTGTGTTGCTCTGAGCACCGTGGCAGCCCAGACAAGGTGCAACGATGGCACTTACAGCCGACAGTACTGTCACGCCACATCGGCCTTTTTTGTACGGCAACAGTGTTGGACACTGTTGCTTTGCTATCGATGGTGATGATGATGATGATGATGGACTATACAGAACGGCGCATTCAGGAGACCACCACAGTGGGCAAACCAAATGTAGTTTCTTGTGCAAGGGACTTTATCATCAAAATATACTTCAAGGGACGAGCCCAAAGTAATCCTTCCGGGATGGACAACTTACTTACTGTGATAAGAAATTATGAATAATAGTTCATGTTAACACACCAATTTGGTTTTAACGGGAGACTCACCTGAGTGTTCCGCACAAAGGCTACCTTATGTTTCAGTTTTCGCGGTATTCCAGACATCATAATATACATACTTTTAAGAATATCACTCACAAGGCTGCTGGAAGCACTTCAACAGCCCGCGACTGGTTTCGCTCTTCTTGGGGCTCATCAGTCTCCAAGTTTTGGTCAAAAGTATGTTCTACTTGATCTCAAATTGCACGGAATTAACGATATATCTATAGATTTGCGAACCATTTTGGTGTGAATGGGAGACTCGGCGTTGTGAGTACTGCTTCTCGAACAAAATGTACCGCGATATCTCGAATGTTGTGTCATTCCAACGCTGAAACTGGCGATGTTGACTGGACGAACTTTGAACCCAGGGACATCAACCACTAGGCACAAACAGTTTATCAAGCGAAATATCAGACGCATATTCGGCCAGTCAACGAACTATTCGATATCGCCAATATGCGTTGAATCGATTTGCACACTGAACCAGATTTAGAGCTAACGTTCTTCACTATAGACACAATTGTCGTTTTACGAATATTTGGACTTCGGCGACACCCCTGCTGTAAACAGATTCAGTCAACGTTGTCAGTTATCACATTTTCTGTCTTGTTAGCGATATTGCAACTCTTATTTCGGTCCTTGGCTTGCTGGTATGCCAAAAGGTACGGTAACTTGAGGTGGCCTCAATGGAGATGCAGGGGAATTTCTCCCAAGATCGCGCCTGAATCTTCGTGGTTGGGCGAGAAGCACCGGACTGTAAATGTTCGATCCTGATCGGCTTACATCCTAACCAATCAGGACATGCCTTCGCCAACTCGCGATACGTCCATGATGTTTGGTTATCTAGAACACCCCACCTCAGGGCAATCTTGCAAGAAATTGCGAAACACCTTAAGATTACTTATGACGGAGCCCAAATCTCGCTTTGACGTCTTTTCAGGCATCCGACTGTATCCAGGTCCCAAAGACAGAGTAACGATGTTACTCTGCGATTGTATCAATCGCACACGGCATAGCATCTGATGTTTGGAATTTTGTTCTATCCTCTCAAATTGGGTTGATACAAGTGGACTTCTACCTGCTTTGACTTATTACTACTGCCAAATACCAAACCTACTATTTTATCAATCGCTCACGCTTCCCCGTCGTTTGGACTAGTGAATTGGTTGGATGTCGTACTTTTACTTCTAAGAGTGCGATTGTTACACCAAACGTCTCTGTGGCGAACGTCCGACAGACGCCAGTGCTGCCCAGCCTCAATTCAAACAGCAGAAACATTAGCGATACCCTATGATTTTATTAGTCCTTGAGGTGAAAAAACAGACATTTCATGAAAACGATGGAATGGGTCTGATAGGCTGTCGTACAGTTGGACCGAGATATATATTCCTAAGGCAATACTATGTATAAGGTTGATGAAAGCTATCAGATAGTACATGACCCAGTTCGTCCCTCATCCTTGGATTGTCTCCGAAACCTCTTCAGCCTCACTTCCTAATTGAAACGGACTTCTTTAAGTGACACAGCTCCAGTGCCTTTTCGTACGCACGAAAGCACAAGAACCCGTCTCAGACAGTCATCTCGATGAATAAACGTGGACCGTTTCGAAAAGGAGATCGATCATTGTTCAATCTCCCCAGGAATGTTTACCTTCGAGGGTTTCAACTGCATTATCGATTTTTCGGTTTAAAGGAAACATTAATCGCTTGCTCCAAAATTGTATTTCAGTAAAATGTTACTATCCGGTCATTTTTATTTAACCCGCTCTTGATCTTCAGGTCGGTAACAGACATCGTGAGGCCGATAGACAACAACAACTGTTTAGGATCCATATTCAACCAGGCCTCTGGTTGACCAGTCGACGTTCACAATGCATGCGACTGACTGTGGATATATCTGTTCAGAATTTGTACTATGTCCCCCATACTTTTTATTCTTGACTGTTTGTAAAACCAACTGGAATATATGCAGAGAAAATAGGTATGTTTACTAGGTGTTTTTGACTGTCCCCAGTGCTTTTTTTCTTTTTTTCCTATGGGTTGGAGAACAGGGATGAAAAACTATGTCTCGGTGAGCGGTAGTTAACTGGTCTGAAAAGGATTTTTCGCATAGTCACGAAACATTCGGTTTTCTATCCACCCCCAATAGGTCCGCAGATTCCGGAATGTGTGAATCCTTTGATCAGCCCTCAGAGTATATTGTGTATTTCGGAGGTAATAGCGATGGGGGTCTCAGTATTACCCCGAATTTTTGATTGGTCATTGTGGCTCAGTGCTTAGGAGGCGAATTTACTGACCGAAAGGTCCGTGGTTCGAGCCCGACCTCTGCATCTCGATTTCCCCTGTCTAGGCTTGGGCAGCCTGGCAGTATCCCAACCCTTGTGCTGCCTTCGGGTGGCGTGGCAGCTGGGCACCGAAAGAGCGTTTCAGCTGAACGACTTTTTTGTGCCAAACACTTGTGGTAAGTGGCTCCAAGGACTACTGCTGAGACTCACTCCGGGGTAATTTATGGGACTTTTGTGGTTGATCATGTTGACAGGACTTTCACGACCGCAGCAAAAGGGTATCAGTATAAACAGTTGGCTGGTGGGATCGTGTGATCGCGGTCTTCATCAGGGTCTTTTAACCGTTTTACTGCATTAGTGGTCTTTCCTAAACACTACGGGCCTTCGTTTCTCTCTTCGGACCTTGGATTCATTTGACAGTTTGTCGCTGAGTTGTTCCGTGATGGAAAACCTGTTCAATGCGGCTAACTCGGCCCGTGCCGAGAGTGCTCTGCACAAGTGCATCGGGTGGCAACTCACGTGACAACGGGTGTTATGGTTTGCGTTACAGTTCAACCCAGACAATTTCCCAACTAGAACAAGATATACCATGGTCGTTGGCTTGTTCGCAGCGCTGGGCTATTTGATTGCAAAGGTTTCATCACCAATCGGGGTGACCTCATCAGTGCGTTATTGTAGGGCGTAGTTGTGCGTAGCGGTGGGTTAGTGGTTGTGTCATACCATTTTTCGTACCATACCATCTTGATGGCAACGCATGTCTTCATCCATGTGTAGGGTAGTTGCCGTTGGAGTAACCTCACTTATCTAATGCAGTTATTCTTCCTGCAGCCAAGAGCAGTGATCCGCCAGACGAGAATCCTCTGATGGATCGCCTTTTCAGGGATTTGTGGCTTGGGGAAATGAGGTGAGGAAAGTCTTGCGTTCTGAAGAGTTCCGCTGAGTGGATTCCATAGGGCCCAAAAGCACACACAGTTGGTGCGCAAAGAACATCCAGGGTGAGATTTATCCTCATCAAATTATCAGGTGTAACAGCCGACAAGCTCAACTCACCATCAGTATGGACTAATGAGCGTAAACTGTCCGAAATAGAAGGAATTTGCGAAAAGGACTCGCCTGGTTGCCATTTAGAGTCTCTCCATGTCTAAATGCTTCACATTCAGAGTAGTTGCTCAGCTTAGTGAGTACATACTGGACTACTCAGGTTGCTACTTGTACAATGCGTTGCCGGCATGTGACGAATTTATGTACTCGGGTTGATGATAAGCGCCGTCACAGGCTACCGCGTTTCTCGATTTAGTTACCCTTTGGAACAAGCAGACCGCGGTCCTCAAGCTACATGCTATAGTATTGTCTCAAGAGGATGACGTTACAATGACCGGTGTCGGACGCTGTCGCGAGTAGTTAGCCTTCACGTGTGCGCTTTGTAGTTCAACTACTAGCTTGTCTGAATGGTGCAGTTAGTTGGAGCAACACCACCCTCAACACAGAATGCCAGTAGTGTCCCACCTCTAGTCCGACTTTCCCGCAGGCACATAATTCGGATCCTAGTTGGACGTTCGACGCGGTTGCTTTCTGGATTTCTCAAGCGGACACACGATAGATATTACCCGAGTGGATGGTTTCTGCCAATCTCGGCAGTCTTCGATTGCATGGAGAGCGATCATTTGCATACTGCGCCCGGAGTGTTTTGCTTTGCGGATCATTGTATTCGTCGACTGATCGAGAATACAACAACACCGAAAATAAGGATTCTTCACAAGGATGGCTCGAATTTCTAAGTAGTAGTAACCTCGGCGAACAGATAAATTCTGTCAGCGAAATACGCTCTGTTAACAAATTTGGTTTTGCGGCGGACTCACCTGGAACCCAGCTGAATCTCTCGTTTTTTGATGCTTTCAAGAGTCCCGAAAAGGATGAAACCGGTCGTAGGCTATCGAAGGATCTCTTCAGTAAGGAAACTACTCACAAGGTTGCTGAAAGCTCTTCGACAGCCCACGACCTTATCCGAAATCTCTTCAGTAACTTTATTAGTAGTGGATTCCGTCTATAGATTCTCAACCCTGATTTTTTTCAGAACGAAGTTGCAGCTGCCGAAGTCTGACGTTAGCTGTCGTTGTTTCATTTGTGGTACTATGAATTGATTTAGGGTCCAAGTGTCTACTACGCACTCATCTAGGAGTCAGGGTGTTTCAGCTGTCAATGCAACTCACTGCTTGTGCGAACAAAATGAAGACTGGATAGCAAATGAGGCTTTTGTTCGGTTCACTACAGAGCGAACCAGACGACATGGTATGATGACTGGTCATACGGTGTGCACATTCAGTTGGAAGGCACTTTCTGTGTTCATGTGCTCCATTTGAGGCCGTCTGGAGTAAGTCAGCTTAACAGACCGTTGGCGGGCGGAAGATGACGTCATGAGAGGTGGGACCACGTCAAACTGAGTCATGGCGATTGTGATCAGGCGTTTTGTATATCTATTCTCAAGCAGATCCTAGTTGTCTTGCCAATGCAGCTCAGTTCACAGAGACAAGTCGAAGTATATGCAGAACAGAATGTGCTTGACGAAACCACATCATCTTTCAATCGTTACACGACACAGCTGGAAGTAAAGTTCACTCGGTGCGTTGTGCGGTCTCTGTGTTGTTCCTTTTGGAAGTTGCTCACAGGCGTGGTGCTTGTACGTTCATCCCTGTGCCTGTTTTGGAAGTCTGTTACGCTAACTATATATTGAGGTAAATGTTTGGAACTAACATGCGACCGGGAAGAACAGTGCGCTGAATCGTCCTTGGAGTGGATCTTCCTTGCTGCATCGGCCAGGAGGCATCCACGGAAATAGGCAGAAATACTATTTACAAAGGATGTAGGAACGGCTGTCTACTAGAACAGGCCCATTGCATGGACGGTAGATCACCTAATTCATAGCGCACATAACCAACCAATTGTGTTTTCTATCAGCTGTCCCCGGAAAGCATCGGGGCGGTTCTTAATCGTCTGCTCCGCGAATCCATACGCTGCCGCAAGCCCCCGCCTCCGGTGGAAGGCTCAGGACTGAATGGTTGTATTCAGTGTAGCAAAGCTGCGCCACTGTGACAGTTTCTCTGTTTTCACCTGCGCGGCGCACGTAGAGATTGAAATACACTGAGCAACATTCGGTTATTAGAGCTAGTTCTACGTGAATTCAAACAACCTGGTTGAGATAAAGTTGCGCAAAGCAAAATGGAGCCCACTATTACAGCAGAATATCCCGATGAAGGAAAGTACTTACAAGGTTGCTGAAAGCTCTTCGACAGCCCACGACCTGTTTCGCCCTTCTTGGGGCTCATCAGGTAGGCGCAGTCCCTGATTATCCGTCAACCTTATGTTCTACTTGAACCCAAATTGTACTGTTTTCGAGAAGTACACTCATTTACAACTCAATTTGGTTTTCACGAGAGACTCAACTGAATCTCTTGTTTATGATACTCTACAACTGAATGTGCTGTACACAGGCGAAACCGGTCATGGGCTGTCAAAGAGTTTTCAGCAACCTTGTGAACAGTTTCCT